AGTTTAACTTTCATTGGGTATATTTGAATAAATTAACTTTTCACAGGTTTTGACCATTTTTAAATAGAATTTTGGTCTTTTTCCCTCAGTATTTAATCATTCTTTGGATATGAAGAAATTTAGTCTTTTACCTGTAATATATGTTGGAAATATTTTTCTAATTGTATTTTGTATTTGACTTTGTTTTTGGTGTTTTATGCTAGGCCAGATTTTTGCCTCTAATTGTTGAGGATAATCAGAAAGCTTTTCTCCAGATCATAGAAAAGTGTTTCCACATCTATTCCAGTATGTATTTAGATTCCTTTAATATACCTATGATCCCTTTCAAGTTTTTTTTTTTTCTTCCTATATATATAGCTTGAGGAATATATCCAATTTTAACCTTTTACAAATGACTCTCCAGATGTCGGACAGAATATCTATTAAGAAGCCCATGTTTGGGCCTCTCTGGTGGCACAGTGGTTGAGCACTGGGTTGCGAAGCTGCCCGCAGCCTCTGCAGCGCCAGTTCGATCCCCGGCCCCCAGGCGAGGGTCCCACATGGGCACAGATCTCTCCTGCCTCCCACTGTTCCCCTCAGCAGTGTATTTCGTCAGTTTGCCAGATCTGCTCTCCGCTCTGGCTCTGGTGAATTCCCTCACCCTCCCGCCCTTCTGACTGTACCCAGTGCTTATATAAATATATAAATAAATTTATAAAAAAAAAAAAAGAAGCCCATGTTTGACAATACTGTCTATATCATATTTGAATTTCTATATGTAGTTGAGACAACTTTTGGCCTTTTCATTCTATTCCATTGGTCTGTCTATTTCTGTGTTGCTGGCCACCAAACTGTTATAAATGGGGGATTTTGAAGTTCATTTCAATATTGGTAGACAAAGTAATTCTTCAGAGTTCACCTTTCATAGTCTGCATAGTCTATTATCTGTCTTTCACATGAACTTCAATGTCAACTTGTTCAGACCATCAGTTATTAGATGTTTATAGGGATCATTTCAAACATATAAATTAACTTAAGCAAGGGTTTTTACCCAAAACAGATGTCTTTGCCTTTCTAAAGTCTACTTTTTGTCTTTCTGAAATCTTTGACATACTTTTCATATATATTATGAACAGTCTTTGCTAAGTATAGTTCCAAATATTTCATCAGTTTTTCACTATTGCAAATAAGTTTTTTTCATGTATTATATATTATATATAATTTGAAGATTGTGGCATCTGTATCTCTGAAGATGTTGAAAGTGTAACAGGGTGGTCCCCAGGAAAGGGGGAGGTTCCCTGCCCCACCCAAGGGAGGGTGGAGCTGAGCAGGAAGAGGAGAAGCTGCAGAAGAGACTGAGGAAGGAAGCAGGATGGAGCCAGAAGGAGACCTGGAGGAGGCGCATGGAGCCTAGAGACACATGAAGAAACTGCGCTTGTCTTTTGGTCGTGGACTGGGTGACACAGATGTGGGTGAGACCCGTGGGGAGGTGACAATGGCAGCTTTTATCTTGATGTTGATTTTGCTCTTTTCCTTCCGGGCTTGTCTGGTTGTTTGTGACCCTTTTCTGTGGGTCCCCACTGGAAGATGCTTTAGACTTGTGGCAGGCTTAGGGGCCTTGTTCTGGTCTGATCCCATATGGATGGACTTTTACCCACGAGGGGACGGGTAACTTTGGGTGCTTCATTTAGAAACTAGACTCTGCCTTACCTGTGTTGTTTCCTAGTTTTATTAAAGTTCCTTCCCATTAAAGTCTCATATGTTTTGTGTTGATGCGGCGGATGGCAGAACCCACTTAGAATAGGCAGGTTTGCGGGGTTTGGGCTGCCCCTCTCCCTGTCCTATAACAAAAGGGCATGAATCTTATATGGTTTAATTTGATTTTTAGATTGGGGGAGAGATGTGTGATAAATCTAAACACATTTATGAAGTCTGAAATCAAACATTTTTTTTAAAGATTTATCTATTTATTTATTTATTTATCTATTTATTTATTTATTTATTTATTTATTTATACAAGCATTGGGTACAGTCAGAAGCGCGGGAGGGTGAGAGAATTCACCAGAGCCAGAGCAGGGAACAGAACAGGCAGAGTGACCAAATACACTGCTGAGGGGAGCAGCGGGCACAGCAGGAGAGGTCTGTCGCACCATGTGGGACCCTTGCCAGTGGCCGGGGATCGAACCGGCGCTGCAGAGGCTGCTGGCAGCTTTGCAGCCCAATGCTCAGCTGCTGCACCACCAGGGAGGCCCCAAACATTTTATTTTAATGACAATGGCATAAAAGTAGAAACCACAGCAGAAGAAAAACCAGAAAATTCCCAAATTTGTCCCACATCTGTTTTTGTGAATAAATTATTTTGTAGCACACATAAACCATTATCTATTATCCAAGTCTCCTTTTTCATTACAATGGCAGAACTGAGTCTCCAACAGAGATTGACCCACAAAGTTGAAAATGCTTGCTATCTAGTCCTATAGAGAGAGATGTTCAACAAACTGCACTAGGATATATAAAAAGATTTCAAAAGGTATAAAATTATGGAAATTAGAAAAGGTGTTTAAATATTAAAAGAATCTCCAAGTTTTAAGATATGGAAATTGTAAGGTTGCAAAAGAGCATTTCAAGTAACCCTTGTAAAGGGCAAATAATACAAGCAAACAGGAGAAAGAATTCATTTAAGCAGTGAGAACCATGAAACCTTCAAGAATAAGTTCCACCATATTCCTATTTGCATGGAGACAAATATCAACTCTGGCGAAGCTGCTGATATTTGTATCTTGAAAAGTGGTTTCAGAAGTTACAGGAGAAGTTTCATGCAGAGCCCCATCAAATAGAAACAGGCATTTAAATGATTATCTCAATTATAATTTGAGATTCAAATATTAAACTAATTGTCCCTAAGTTCCACTTGAAATTTGGAAAATGAATCAACTTGCCATAGCTTATCAGTTAGCTTACTGTCTTTATTTTTCCCAAGAGTCAAAAACTGACAATGAGGGCCTCCCCGGTAGCGCAGCGGTTGAGTGCTGGGTTGCGAAGCTGCCCGCAGCCTCTGCAGTGCCTGTTCAATCCCCGGCCACCGGTGAGGGTCCCACATGACAAGGCAGACCTCTCCTGCTGCGCCCACTGCTCCCCTCAGCAGTGTATTTCCTCGGTCTGCCTGTTCTCTTTCCTGCTCTGGCTCTGGTGAATTCTCTCACCCTCCCGCACTTCTGACTGTACCCAGTGCATGTATAAACAAAACAAACAAACAAATAAATAAATAAAAACATGCCTCTATAAAAAAAAAAACAACAAAAAACTGACAATGAAGCATCTCTGGAAATAAGCAAAGAACTGTTTCAGTCCACATGTTAAATAACTGTCTTTATTGTCAATTTTAGATCATATTAACATGCTGCAACTAAGTACCATAAATATGTTCACAGGACCTTCCATAAAACCAAAATAACCTTCTATACACTAGACTTTACAAAACTGTCAAGTCATGATTTAAAGAAAAAATATGAAGATATTCCTAAACTAATGATTGAACCAAATTCTAGGTCGTCACAGAAATTTACTAAAGTAAAACCCAGCTCTTCTAAATTAGAGACAGAAATATCCTGCTGCAGTCACAAACTCATAATGAAATTACAATGACCAACATAAGGAAGGGTCCTTTGGGCTGGTCACCCACAAGTGTGATGACCCTGCTGTTGGACACCAAGTTGTTACAGGACAACTGCAAAAGATATGGAATAATCTGGGTGTGTGACTGCCCTTGTGTTTTAGAATTTGAATGGAGAGTGCCAAAAGAAGAAACAGAGAGTGAATTTTTTTTTTTTAATTTTATTTATTTATACAAGCACTGAGTACAGTCAGAAGCGCAGGAGGGTGAGAGAATTCACCAGAGTCAGAGTGGAGAGCAGAGCAGGCAGATTGACGAAATACACTGCTGAGGGGAGCAGCGGGAGCGGCAGAAGTCTGCGCGCCATGTGGGACCCTTGGCCCTCGGCCAGGGATCGAACTGGCGCTGCAGAGGCTGCAGGCAGCTTCTCAACCCAGCACTCAACCGCTGCGCTACCAGGGAGGCCCGAGAGTGATTTTTTTTTTTTAAGTTTTATTTATAAAGGGAGTGGAAAGAGAAAAGAGAGAGAAAGAGAGATTGGATGATACTTCCCACCAGTAATATCATCTGAGGTATGAGTCACCAAGGTGCAAGACAACCTGGAAATCAAAGAGTTGAGAGCATGCTCTCAGGTTTTAAGCCAAGCATAAATGCTTAACTCTCCCCAGAGTTGCTAGAGGCTTCTGTTCAAATCAAATTCAGAGAATGCTGGGAGTCATAGGCCTAGGTGTCTGAGATCTTATTGGCTTGAAGATGGGTTTTGATTCTGTAAAAATGGCAGGGGTAGAGCTCATTCAGCATTTCAATCACAGTCTCAGAGTTACTTCTACTGTTCCTCTAACACTTGGAGGAATTAATTTACTACACAATTCATGAAATCAATGGAACAACTAGCTATCAAAATGCAAAAAGTCATACACTGAGACATATAATAGAAAATTGTGAATGTTTAAGCATTTATATATAAGAATATATCTATACAGATATCCAGAAAGAACTAATTTCCAGAAGCAAGATATAAAGATATAAAGATGACTTTTTGCAAACTTAGTGTGTGATACAAAAGACTGAAGGGATGTTGACATATATCATTTGACGCAAATATTTTTTTATTTAAATTTCTGCAGAGAAAATATACAAAATGATATTCATAAGAAATATTTAACTCAAGGTTGAACATGTGTTTATTAAAATATCCATTACAATTTTATCTTGATGCTTTATAATTTCAAGTATAAGTACACATATTCATCAGTTATTAATATTTTCAAATATATGAAAATTATATGTTCAAACACAGCTAGAAACATTTTACAGATTCTAGAAATACATAACTGTAACAGTTCAAGTAGTAAAATTACCATTCTTAAGATGAACCATCATAGCCCACTTCTGCCCGAAGAAACACCTAAATAAGTTGTTGCTGACAGATATACATGTTTTTTGATGTGCAAGGTTCATCCCAAATACCATTGGCTCTTCCGTATACTACGCAGGTCATTGGGTTGGCAGTTTGAGAGTTTGGCAGTCTGTAATGAAAAATAAAATGTTAACATATGGGAAAAAGAAATAAGAATATTCAGGGATGAAACCTTTAGTATATGATAGACTTTTTCAAAGTATTCGAATGATTCATTACAGATTGAGTCAGTATATTTTCTAGTCAATAACCACAGTTTTGATGATTATAGAATGCAACATTATGAAACAGGGCTATTGTCTCAATAAGCAATAACACAGAGATCAGGGTTGGTTTGTTTTTTATTTTGATATTGCTTTAATGGATCTGATATACACTCTACTTCAACTTTGCTTAAAGATGTTTTGACTAAGCTAGCCTAGAAAACAAATCAGGGAATACATGTTGAAAGTCCCATGTTTATGAATAAAGATGAGATTAAAAAATTATAAATACACAGAAAATTAGTCTAGAAATTGTAATCAAAATTGGGGGTTGGAGCTGGGAATACTGGATTCCAGAAAAATAAAGAAAATGACTGTGTTTTCTCTGCATGACTCCTGTGAATGTAATTTCTGTGTAAACACACACAGAGCATAGGGGAAAAAATCCATGCATCACAAGCTCTATTATGGCCACAAGCACACAAACTTCATATCACTTGAGCATAACATATTTTCTATTTGCAGCTAAAATTTTTATTCTCTTAAATCTATTTTTTCTATATTCTCATGGCCTAGGAAGACTGTCTTGGCCACATTCAGTGGTGAGATAAACATATACTCATACAGAACAGAAAAACCCAAGATTGGCAGAAACTTGTAGAACCTGGGCCTCCCCGGTGGCGCAGCGGTTGAGCACTGGATTGCAAAGCTGCCTGCAGCTTCTAAAGCCCCAGTTCGATCCCTGGCCACTGGCAAGGGTCCCACATGGTGCACAGACCTCTCTTGACTCGCCCACTGCTCCCCTCAGCAGTGTATTTAGTCAGTGTATTTAGCCTGTTTCGTTCCCTGCTCTGGCTCTGGTGAATTCTCTCACCCTCCGCGCTTCTGCCTGTACCCAGTGCTTGTATAAATAAATGAATGAATGAATGAATGAATGAATGAATGAATAAATCTTTAAAAAAAAAAGAAACTTACAGATCCTGAGAGACCACAGAGCCATCCTCCCACACCCAGGCACTGTGTTCTGCACTGTAGGTGACTCCAATCCAGTAGAAGTATTTACTGAGCTTCATAAAGTGCTGCTTAGAAACAGAAACAAATTGACCTAATTAAATGTACTGTGGGATAATATATCAATACATATTTTTAAAGTTAATGTTCAGCATCAGATTCACCCTCTCAATCACACAAACTGAAATTACTTTTAACATTTGGTTTAGGAGGTGGTGACAGGTCGCCTCCATCCTCATCTGAGGCCCATCTACTTATGGAAAAAACCCAAAAGCTCATGTCTAGACAGAATGAAAAAATTATTATACACATGGTAATATATTATCTATTATATTTTGAAGGAAGTTAGAATTTTCGTGGAACACTTCCTTCACAGTAGGCCAACATTCAAACTGATTCTGTATCAGTGTCTAAGAGGAAGAATTTTGTGGATATAAACTTCTCAACCTATATTTAACTTCTTAGGAATTGGATAATTGTTATGATAATACATTTCATACTAAAATGATGACAAAATATACAGAATTACAGAATCAACTATAAAATCAAAGGGATAAAAGTTACTGGTTTTACTTGATATCTTAATAAAACACACTTATATCGCCTTCGAATTCTTTCTAAAATGTTTTTTGTATTTTATATGACATTTGTCTTGAATGTAATTCAATAACTCACATCTTTGACAATTTTTGTAAGTTTTATGATTGTTTAAAGTGAAAGGATATTAGTAAGTCATTAGTTCAAAAATTCTCTCTCCATTTACTATCTGATTAAAGACTGGAATCATTCAGTTTACTTAGGTAGTACATTTTCCTAGATCAAAAAATGTATAGGAAATAAGAATTAAATACATGCCAATTCATCTTTATTGTGCATCTGAAGTAGAGTGGAATTCCTTGAAGCACAAAAATCCCTACTTTCTTTCCAAGTTTTTAATTCACTGGAAATGAAGTAACAGTTGCATTGATAGCCGACCCATCTTTCTTGGCAAGAACTATATCTAGAATCTAAGAGAAAAGTAAACCATAACTGTTGACATTGGATATTGTTTTTCAGTGCTCTTTACTCATTCAAAAATTATTTTTCATTTTATTTCTACAAATTATTTGAAACTCTATCTGGGCATAAAACTGGATGGTCTAGAGGCAGTTACAGTGTTCTGTTTAATCTATTTTCCTTTCTAAATCTAGGAATAACTGGATCTAGGAATAAGTGAGATCCAAGAGAACTTTAAATGAGAGATATATTTAATCACATTCCCTGAATCATATAGTATCAATAGATGGTACATTGGGAGAATTCTGATATATAGGGTACATAATTCATTTTCTAAAGGAACATTTGAAAAAAATAGCTTAAAATAGCACTTTGAGAAATCACTATCCTCAGTAACAAAAGTCATGACACCTGGTAAGCAAGCAAATCTTTGCCAAATGAATGATGTTGCAGGTGTAGAATAGAATGTGGTTAACTGGGATGTGGGGTGGGGGGAATGAGGAGATGATGAAGAAAGGTTATAAACTTAAACTCTGAGGATCTAATGCACAGCATTGTAGTTGTAGTTAGCAGTACTCTATTATATACTCACTTTTGCAAAAACAACAAAAAAAATAGATCTAATTTTTCTTGCCATGGAGGTGTTAGCTAATACTATGGTGCCACCATATTGCACTGTGTAGCTTTATCAAATCAACACATTACATGCCTTAACTGTGCACAATGATATGTGTCATTTCTAATCCAACAGAACTAGAAAAATATCTAAGGAATAAAATGAAGTGAAAAATGATCACAAAAGATACTAAGACAACTTAGAAAACATTTAGATGAAATACATTAAAAATTGGGCTTTGACTTATTTTACTGAGCAAAAAGAAAAATACCGGATGGTCTCACTCATAGCAGGAATTCAGAAAACCTAAATAAGGGACCGGGAAAAAGACTAATTATAATAATAAAGAAAAAATCAAAATCAACAAGCAACTATAAACCAGAGACACACTATGGGGGAGGGGGGAAGAGAGGAGAGAATATAAGGGGGGGGTGGGAATTGTATGGGGAATATAACCAAAATGAAAATGCATATATTGTGCAAAAATGAATAATGATGTAAGAATTATATAAAATAAAATATATTAATAAAAAATAGTGGGCTTTGAGCTGACTTTCACTGATAAGTAGGGCTTAGAACTACTGAAATCTGTGTACTACATTCTCAGTCATGGAAGATGCAAAAAGCAAAGGTAAAGACATAAATTCATGGGTTATGAGCAAACACAGTTAGGAAATTAGAATTAGTTGGGAACTAATTTTTTATTACTTAAATGTGAATGCTCATGTAGGAAAAGCTAAGTTATTTCAGGTTAATATTTTCCTTATTTAAATATATAAATAATGCATATTCAAATAATTTAATAATTCTTACAATGGAAGACAATGAAATGAGACTATCCTGCAATTAGTATATCAACTTGCATAACTAGATCACAATATTCCATCATTATTCCTTGTGAGAAAAACAGGAACCTGCATATTTCATCCTCTACTCACCCGAAGGTTTACAAAGTATGGAACCTACCTTCCTGGGATTTGAGGGTGGCTCCTGGAGAGAGTGTTGTTTCAATATCTAGTTTATGAAATGCCATCAGAAATGATTAGAAATTATTAGATACAAGTTTGTGAAACAATAAAATATTCCATATTAGTAAATGAAAGCTTCAGTAAATTATTTCATCGATGCTCTGAACTTTATACAAACTTGACTAGAAAAACTTACAGTTTTTCAACACAATTCCCAAAGTAGCCATCAGCGAAAGGCATGTTACTCCTAAGATCCCAGAAATCCACCTCCATGAAGTGGTCTGAAAAGCTGTAGAAAAAGAGAGGTAGGGTAATGACTTCAAGGAAAGACACGGGAACACAAGTTCTTAAAGGCAGAAACTAGCACAGGAGAATCCAAAAAAATGTTTTCGGTTTGGAAAAATGAAGACAATCCATGGAAAACTCCAAATAATGGCAAAATCTATCCTTTTGTGACATTATCCATACTTTTTCTTCTTTCCCAAATGCATGTCATTGACATGGATTTAATATTTATTTTTTGGAAATTTAGATATCTGGAGTAGAAGTGATGAGGTGCAAATTTCTGGTTTGTTCTTTATACCAGATTTATTTTTATTTTATAAATAAAAATCACAAGAGATATAATTCCCATTAGGCAGATGGGAAAACTGGATCCATTAATAATGTTATGACTCAAAGTATCAAAGCTAGTAGCATCTAACTCAGAAAAGAAATGTGTTTACCTTGTTTCAGAGTCTTTCATTCAGGTAACATATACTATCTTTATAAAAAAGTACCTAGGACTGTGCCTTTCTAATCTCAGGGCATTCCCTGCCTGGAGTGATGTCAGCTGCTCATAACTCTGTGGAGGTCGTATGGGGAGAAAAGACAGAGGACACCCTGGACTTGAGATGATAATATCGTCCCCAAAAAATTACTTGAGACACCCTGGGACCAGCATTTATTTTGCATATTTTAAACAATTATATAAAAACAGCAACTATGTATTGGGCACTGCATTTCTTTCTTCCCAAAATTTACTTTCTATCACACATTTCCCCTCAAAAAAATTTAGAAGATTCTGCATTAACATCAGCACACACACACCTAAAAGTGTTGGCATTAAAAGTCTAGTGTGTCAAATGTGAACAGGGTAGCATTTGGATGTCACAACAGAAATGGTAAATTTTATAAACTTGTAAACATTTCCATTAATATTCGATATTCCCTACTTATTTTTATGCTCAGATTGTGCTGTTCATTTAACCTGGTGAATCAGTCACATAAATATTGCATTCTATCCCTGTCAAATCCATCCTTAAAAATTGTTGGAAAAGCTTCACAAAATAATTTCTATATGACAGAATGAAGAATCATGAAAATAAAATTAAGTGGAAAATACTGACATGTGATATATCTAAAAATCTCACTATTTTCCCAATCCTGCCCTGAAATTAGCAATACCCATGACATACGCCTTCTAGTTGTTTTTATTGTTTAATTGTATGGCTCTGGCTGCACATACCTGCCATGAGGACAGATGTTCCAGGTAGATGCAAGGAAGTCTCCCAGAGTGCTTGTTCCAGAAGATCCTGGTGGGGTCATAGAGTGAGCTGGAGGCTTAGCAATGTTGAGTTTGTGTTAAGAAAATATCTAAAAGAAAAAGAGAAAAATCTGTTTTTAAACATTGTTCGTGGTCACCATTTTACTGGTGAGATTGGATGGACAGTGTGAACCAGAAGCGGCAAAATCACAAGTTTCTAATTTGTTCCGGGACCACAATACAGGAAGTGCTCACTGTACCTGCGCAGCGCCTCCCTTTGTCTTTGGTAAAAGATCAGAGCAAGTTGGGTTGTTTTGTTTTGTTTTGTTTTTTTTAAACAATTGAACAGCAAATTATCAAAATTTTAAAAATTATTTGGGACACAGTTGGAACAGGGCAAACCTAAGTGTGGGGACTCAGGGTAATAAAATTCCACACATAAAATATCCCTACATTAATATTAAATATTTTTTATTTGCATTGCATGAAACACTGATTAAAGCACTTAGTGTAATTTAGATCATTTATTTCTGAAACTGCAGTAATGTTGAAGATACAAAATTAAAATCATTTGCCAGTGAGAAACTTCAGGCATGATAGAGCTAAGCGGCTTCAAAAGGCTTGTATTTGAAAGCAGACAGTATTTCTCCACAGACACATGCAATATATTTTAAATTAAGCATCTCTCTGTATTTTTGTATTGTGTGGATTTTCATTTTCTTTACACAGAGTGGTGGGTATTTCCCTGTCTCAGTCTGTTTGTGTTTCGCATCTCCTTAACTCAGCTCGGGTAGGCAGGGATCAAAAAGGTAGAAGCAAACATCCCATTACTGTTGCAAGTACACACTCTCACACACACGTACTCTGGCACAGCCTCGGCTAGCCTGAGCCCACACTCAGTGTGTCCTTCATATTAACCTTCAATCTTTCCCTCAATACTGGTTGTTCAAAGGCCTTCTCTTCAGAACTTTGAACTAGACCACAGCAGCTCCCTTGTTCTTATTTGTATTAGAATTTTTACTATTACTTTTACTGTGTTATATCATTAAGGCAATATGCTCATAACTCCATTTATACAGTTTTGTCCTCAGAAAAGTATCTAGTAATGGGAATTTGCATGTGGGGCAGGTCTGGAATAAGAGACCAGAGCAAATACCTGGATCATGATTAGCTATCGGGAAACACAATCTTCCATTATCCCCATTTAGAAGTTGACTTCCAAATAAGATTTTGCTGTGTACATTGTAATTTTGAATATTAAAGTATGATCAAAATATTATGGTAATTTTAATATTACCATAGATGAAACACTACATTAAAATGGGCTTTTTCTACAAAAATAAATAAGACAACATAATCTGGGATAGTGATTTGCTTTCCAGATTCCTTCAAGTTAAATATTCTCCCAAGATTTTCATTTACCCGTGCCCCACCCTGAACTACTATTGTACCCAAAGAAAGAGATATCTGTTGTGACTTCTTCCCCTCCCCCCGCAAGATCTACTGAAAACTTTGCTTCCCTCACACCAATAAACCTCAGCACTTGATATATTAGTATCCCAGATCCCTTTCTTTTCTCTATGCAGGTAGAGTTTGGAGGAGCATGTTTGAAAAAAGAAATGTGTGAAGTCTAAGAAAAAACTCCCATGATGAGAAAATGGAGCTTAAGCTCACAGGGTAGAGAAAAAGATGGTGAAGATAGGCATGAGAGCAAGAGAGGCAGGCCTGGGGGCTACTGAGAGGAAGGTATTGGGACCAGAGGGGCCGCCTTGGTGACACTCACCTGTCACATCCCCTCATCAGCACCTGAGTCATGTGGGGCTGAGGAACACCTAACAGGAGCTCACCCTGCACCCTGTGGGCAGTGCCAGGCACTCCCTGTTCCCAAGGGATGTTCAAGTTATTCTTCTGTTCATCATTGGAGATAATTTCCCTTTAAAGTGATAGCATCTATCCCACCAAACAGATAAGATACCCATTTTTTTTGTCCCATCAATAATCCTTATAATCCAGAAGGTAAGCTTATGAGTAATAGTAATAAATTGATTAATAAACATAATATGATGAGGTGGGAAAGAATATTCCTGAACCTTGGATTACTGAGACAAGGAAGTCCAAGACACATCCTGGACTAGAAAATGATGAAACATCTCTCTATATTTTTATAGCAAGAAAAGATAAAAGTAGAAAAAGCAGGTAGAATCAGTACTGTTACAGTGTAGGGAGAGGGGCACTCCAGACCCCGCAAACCTGCCTGCTCTAAACGGGTTCTGCCATCCTCCACATCAACACAAAACATATGACACTTTAATGGGAAGGAACTTTAATACAATTAGGAAACAATACACAAAAGACAAAGAATATAGTTTCTAAATCAAGCACCCAAAATTACCCGTCCCCTCGTGGGTAAAAGTCCATCCAAATGGGATTGGCCAGAGCAAGGACCCAAAGCCTGCCACAAATCTAAAGATCTTCCAGTGGGGACCCACAGAAAAGGATCAGAAACAAGCAGACAAGTCTGGGGGGGAAAGAACAAAATCAACATCAAGACAAAAACCGTCATTGTCACCTCCCCACGGGTCTCTCACCCAAATCTGTTTCAACCAGTCCACGACCAAAAGGCAAGCACAGTTTCTTCACCTATCTCTCCACTCCATGTGCCTCCTTCAGGTCTCCTTCTGGCTCTTCATCCTGTTTTCTTCCTTCTTCAGTCTCCTCTGCAGCTTCTTCTCTCTGCTCAGCTCCTCCCTCCCTTGGGTGGGTCAGGAAACTGGGAACCTCCCCCTTTCCTGGGGACCACCCTATTACAGTACCACTTGCTGAAGGACCAAAGTGAGAGCAAAAAGAAAAAGAATTACTGATTTTACTACCAAGCTCTTCTGCACTATAAATTTTTATTGAATATGCAAGTTTGCTTTGGCCAAAAATAGACTTTTAGCCAAAAACCATAAATCTCCAAGAAGAATAACTCATATAATACACTTAAATATTTTGAAAGATGGTATTTTGTAAACTGTACCTATCTTCATATAAATTTATTGCTCTTAATTCTCACCTTATTAAAGAATGAATTGCATTGGTTTGATACATATGTTCCCAACAGCTTACCTTAAAAAAGAAATGAAGTTTTCTTTTCTCCACATTGGCTCATGTGTGCTGAAATGGAGACATCAAATCACATGCAGCTCATCATAATTTTAGTGCTTGTTATATACAATTAGGATCAAAATGATAATGCCATTCCAAGTTTTCTAAAATACATCACTAACATCACCATAAAACTGAGCTTATAACATCACAGTGACATTTAGGAAAATGTTTTCTGGATTGATCCAAAAAATAAGAATAGGAGCTTCCTTTGGTGAACAGCAAGATCATCTAACAGGAAAAGAAAAACTGCTAAGCTTAGTCACCCTGGCATCAGTCATCTCATGCAGGGAAAATCTGGAATCAGTCGCTGTGTGTTCCATGAATTCAAAGAGATTCAAATTAAATTTGATAAAATCAGGGTGTTTTATTAATCAGGATGTTTAAAAAAAAATCTTGATAATTATATTTCAAGCAGAGGCATAAATTTTATCAACAATAATCTATTTGATTTAAAATTTATATAATACTCATTATAATGAGATAAAATAAATACTGATACAATTCACTATCTTGCAAATTTAGAGAAATGAGTGTGAGTTATTAAAATGTAAGAGGTTCCATTTTTGT